GTGTGTGTGTGTGTGTGTGTGTGTGTGTGTGTGTGTGTGTGTGTGTGTGTGTGTGTGTGTGTGTGTGTGTGTGTGTGTGTGTGTGTGTGTGTGTGTGTGTGTGTGTGTGTGTGTGTGTGTGTGTGTGTGTGTGTGTGTGTGTGTGTGTGTGTGTGTGTGTGTGTGTGTGTGTGTGTGTGTGTGTGTGTGTGTGTGTGTGTGTGTGTGTGTGTGTGTGTGTGTGTGTGTGTGTGTGTGTGTGTGTGTGTGTGTGTGTGTGTGTGTGTGTGTGTGTGTGTGTGTGTGTGTGTGTGTGTGTGTGTGTGTGTGTGTGTGTGTGTGTGTGTGTGTGTGTGTGTGTGTGTGTGTGTGTGTGTGTGTGTGTGTGTGTGTGTGTGTGTGTGTGTGTGTGTGTGTGTGTGTGTGTGTGTGTGTGTGTGTGTGTGTGTGTGTGTGTGTGTGTGTGTGTGTGTGTGTGTGTGTGTGTGTGTGTGTGTGTGTGTGTGTGTGTGTGTGTGTGTGTGTGTGTGTGTGTGTGTGTGTGTGTGTGTGTGTGTGTGTGTGTGTGTGTGTGTGTGTGTGTGTGTGTGTGTGTGTGTGTGTGTGTGTGTGTGTGTGTGTGTGTGTGTGTGTGTGTGTGTGTGTGTGTGTGTGTGTGTGTGTGTGTGTGTGTGTGTGTGTGTGTGTGTGTGTGTGTGTGTGTGTGTGTGTGTGTGTGTGTGTGTGTGNGAAATTCAATTTTATACAACTTTGTTCATCACAAATTTTCTCGTGAAGTCAAAAATAAATGTGATAATACAATGACAAAATTTCACCCCACCCTTCCTCAAAAAATATTGATTTTATGAAAAAAATTATAGGAATCAAAATTGTTGAGAATTAATTTTATACAACTTTTGTCATAACTATTTTTCATATAAAATTGAAAATAGACAAGTTATTTAATGAAAAATGTATATTTTTAGCCGTAATCCGGTTTTATATGCTAATGAAAGACGACACTGCGAAGAAAAGCGAAATTCAAGCTACAGCTGCGATTTTTTTGGAATTCACCTCGATGCGCTCTCATGTACTGAATGACGACGTTCACGATTACAACTCGTCTTTTATATGATTCTGTTGTGGTTGTGGTAGCGCCCCACCCTACTCTCATTGTGACGTGGTTCAAGGGTGTGACGTAGGTGAAGGTCATTCAAGGTCGAATTCAAAACACATCTTCAAAGTCACCTTGTCGACATCATGTGACGTATGCAGAAGTCATTTCAAAGTCAAAATAACCACATGAATCAATGAAGGTCGTGAAAATATGGAAAGTGAATGATGGTCATTCAAGGTTAAATCCAAGACACAACCTCAAAGTTACATTGACCGCGTCACCTTCTGACGTAGTTCAAGGACGTGACGTAGTTGAAGGTCGTTCAAGGTCGAACTCAAAAGATTTTTTCAAAGTCATCTTGTCGACTTCATTTGACGTATGTAGAAGTCATTTTAATGTTAATGTGACCCGAAACAGACTAAAATCTCAAGGTCAACTCCCAAGGTTATGCGACTTTGAAAATTGTTCGAAATAGCTGTGAAAATATAAAGTGTGAATGAAAGTCATTCAAAGTCAAATCCAAAACACTATCTCAAAGTCGCCTTGTCCGCGTTACCTTATGACGTAGTTCAAGGGTGTAACGTAGGCGGAGGACGTTCAAGGTCGAATTCAAAACACTTCTTCTTGTCGACATCGTGTGACGTATGTAGAGGTCATTTCAAAATTGAAAGTATCTTCGAAATAGCCACGTTGATCAATGAAGGTTGTGAAAATATAGAGAGTGAATGAAGGTCATTCAAGGTTAAAACAAAAACACTAGCTCAAAGTCACCTTGTCCTTGTTACCTTGTGACGTACGTCAAGGGTGTGCCGTAGGTGAAGGTCATTCAAGGTCGAATTCAAAACACATCTTCAAAGTCACCTTGTCGACATCATGTGACGTATGTAGAGGTCATTTCAAAGTCAAAATGACTACATGAATCAATGAAGGTCGTGAAAATATGGGAAGTGAATGAAGGTCATTCAAGGTTAAATCCAAAACACTACCTCAAAGTCACATTGACCGCGTCACCTTCTGACGTTCAGGTCGTTCAAAGTCGAACTCAAAAGACTTCTTCAAAGTCACCTTGTCGACATCGGGTGACGTATGTAGAGGTCATTTCAAAATTGAAAGTTTCTTCGAAATAGCCACGTTGTTCAATGAAGGTTGTGAAAATATAGAGAGTGAATGAAGGTCATTCAAGGTTAAAGCAAAAACACTAGCTCAAAGTCGCCTTGTCCTTGTTACCTTGTGACGTATGTCAAGGGTGTGACGTAGATCACGGTCGATGCCAACTCGATGCGTCGACCATAGGCGCTCCCCCACCACCACCACCACCACCAATTATAACTCGATGTGTTGACAGAAGGCGATACAAGCAAATAGTGGTCGTTGAAACTTCACGGAGTGCAGATGTGTACACTCTCTGTCACGATGGGTATCATCCAAACTGGTGAAGAAAGACCGCTCATCAGTCGGTGGATCTTCGTGGTATGCAGACGTGTGTTTATTCTGTACAAACTGGTACAGAATACATATGAAGGACAATATCAAACCCTGACTTTAGCATGTATGCAATTTAGTTCCCTAATCTCAAAGTTGAATTCCATGTTCAAAGTCATGTATNACCAAATTACTGATGTGTCACGCGTTGTGCCTTTTTTCTTCAATTTCTAAGGATGATGATGAATAAGGGTTGTGAAAGAGGCATGATAGTTGAGATTATAATAGAAAGATGCCCACCTTTATTGAAATTTCATGAATGAACAGATTTCGATGAAATTGTGGACAATGATAATCCAAAACACAGTGAATGTAGTGGAGGTCAGAATTTTGAAGGAAATTCCAAAATTAAATTATTGGGATAATTAATCGGATTTTTTTTTTATTTCTTCACCTTTCGTAACTTTTTTAACGACGATCCCATTTCGTCATAATTTCGACATAAATGATTTCAAAACTATATGAATCCACTGGATCAGATTTTTTCGAAAAGAATCGCTTATATTTTTTGATTTTTGACAATAAATATTGCTGAATTGTAGTTGTGTAATCAAATTGTTAAAATTTATTCTACAGTCTATCTAAAAGCTTCATCCTACACTAATGCCATAACACCTAGTTTTCGAACACAAACCACTCACGTCAACAAGACAACTGTTTTTTTATTGGATAGCTTATGTTCAATTCAATAAACTATGTAAACTATTTATTTCATTGCATTATTCCTTAAATGATACTAATTCAGCTTTTATAATGTATGACCGGCATGCTATAACTCTATTAAGTTTCCAGGAGCACCACGAAACAATTGACTACTATGCAATCAAATATGTGAACTAATCAGAAACATACTTGATTTTGTGGTGACTGTGGTTACCCATCATTCGACTGTGAATAGATAAATCGTTGAAAATATATCTCAAAAGGTAGGTGGTACATGAGGTGTCTGGACGTACAATCCCATGAAACCGAAGAAATAATAACATAAATGAAAGTAAACGTTCACACACCTCATGTCCACATGAAT